GGTTATGAAAGGTTTTTATACTTTGTACTTAAATAAATACCGGGGCATAAAAATGTCTGGCATACTTATTCAGGGTCAGAATGGACTCTGTTGAGACTCAGTAGCAAAACTAAACAATATGCTATCCAAAATGGCCACCATTCAGTAGAAGAAGTGAGAAGACATGGGTAGAAACATCACTACCCGCTTGTCTCCTTGATATACTCGACACCTCATCTGACAGCAGCCATTTTGTCCTTTAGCATGGCCTTTGTCACATGATCCCAGAATGGAGCAGTAAATCCAGTATTACAGACTCTCCCATTAAAAGCTGGTACCATCTTTCTGGGGATTAACCTTTTCCTCAATAATATCCCCACATCATCACTTAGGGGGAAAGTGATCCGCACAACCATTGATCAAAGTGACAGAACTCAAGGACTTTTTAGCATATATCTCGAATGAAAGGCATACCGTGACACATGAACAGAACATGATAAATACCAAGCTTAATAATGCAAATATTAAATACAGTCTTCACCATAATACATCCCCTGGGCACTTACAAATGATAGCCATGAAACTACAAATTAGGTGATCATGTGGGTGGTAATTCCCCATCCTAGCTATTGTTTTATGTAAGAAGTCTGTACATGAAGAAATATTGACTGTTGTATAGATATTTCAGTCCATGTTCGTGGCGTTTATGAAGACTATGCTTACGTAATAAGGGCATTTGTAACAGGCTGAATTCCTCACCACGGAGGGGCACGCTCAAAACCCTACAATCTAATTATTATTATTACCCTGGATAACCCAAGCACAGGCACTAGAAGGTTAATAGTCACATGAGTTATCCCACCGGGTACCCATTTTCTGCTGGGTGAACAGAGGCAAGTTTGAACAAACTCACTTGCCTAAGGTGAGACCACATGTATCACATGTGCTATGTGGAGGGACAGGACTGGAGTCCAATAAACTCTCAGGAGTCAAGCTGCCAAACACGATCACCCACCCAAGGAAACTCCGCTCCCAATGTTGCTGAACTTCAACTGATTTGTGACCTCAGCTCTATGCACAGGATCACACACCACCAAAGCTTCTCATGTTATGTCAGTATAATGGAAGAGATATATAAAACTTTGGGTAAAGTAAAACTGTGGTTAGGTGCACACAGAAAAAGGAGATAGGTAAATTTGGGTTTTATAGTGCTAGCCGACTGAGATACCGACTTCCGCTGGTAAAGCATGAGATACCCCACTCAGACACATTATACTGACTCGAGCTGACCAGTCCTTGTTGTAGTCCATTAATGTACCGGCGCCAGGCAGGGACCAACAAATTTTAACGTCTTTTGGTATGACATTGTCGGGATCGAACCAGCGACCTTCCGCTCTCGGGTGGATGCTTTGACCACTAGACCCACGGAGGTGGTCCACAGAAAAAGGATAATAATAAAGGTGCCTCTGAGATTCGACCATCAAGCAGCCTAACCATACATTACAGTGCTCCTTTTCACAGTGAGATTTAGACCTCAATGGGCTGCACCACAATATTTGAACTCTTTTACATGCAGGTATTTTTATTCATCTGGTCATAAGTTCTGGGTTTCGACCAATGATCAGCAGATCCTGATATAGCTAAGGGACACAATTCTTCACAATTAATGGCAGTTCTTTAGACAACTGGGTCACCCATGAGACCATGTGTCTGCATGCCCTACAACATCTTGAAGATTTGAATACATTACCATAACAACTGGAGTAAGACACATGAAGGTATTTTACTGCTGCTTCAGTCACAATGATTCCACTTTGCATTGATTTCACAAACCCTGTCTATACATGTTAATGCAAAAGGGGAATTTATTCACATTCTAGCCATATTTGATAATAAAGATTCTTTGATGTCTCTAGTTTTAGTGGTAGATTATGTCATCCATAATTCAGTGCTTACTTATCCAGTGCCTTTAAAACCACTGCAGTATAAATACTTGTCCAATTCTTTAAATACATGTAATGTGTCACTGTCAGTATATACAGAATTAGCAGTGATGCGGTGCTTCTTAAACTACTCAAGTATTCACAATAATCAAGTGCTTCTAAAACCTCATCAGTCACTGCAGTGGTAGCAGTAATCTAGTGCATTAAAACCACATCAACCACTAATAGCAGTGATCCAGTGCTTCTAAAACTTCATCAACCACTACAGTAGAAGTAAAAACCTGCTCAGTCACTGAACTTTATTTGCTGATCCACTGCTTCTAAAAACTCCTCAATCATTACAGTATTAGAAACAATGCAGAGTTAAAAAAAAACTCAACAACCTTTGCCGTTTTGTACTGTTTCACTGCTAGTCAGTGCTTCTAATCCCTTCTCAGCATAGTAAAGTGCATCATCAACCTAAAGTAATGCCGGAAATGCTTGTAAAATGCTTTTTGGCTTCAATATCAATATGATGAATTTGACACAAGATAAAAGCATATATATGATACATGTACGACTCTACCTAGTTGGATATTAAAGCTCAGATGAAAAAATGCACTTGAGGGGTGACTTCACAGGAGGAAATTTTGACGTTTTAACAACATTCGTAAATATTCTAAATACAAGCTGTAGTTTTGAAATACAGACTATAATTATTCATATAGCCTCAACTAATTAAATTACATAAATGATTGTAAAAAGTTTTGGGTTTTTTAACATCTATATGTGAAAAAGATGGAACTCTTGTAGTAGTTATATTCAAAATAATTACGTAACAAAGTCTTAATTCAAATCGCATAGATAATCTTGTTCACCCATAGAAGTTTCACTTCGTGTATGAGCATTGAACTGGCAACATGCGACTTGATATCTCTGCAGAACAATTAATTTCAAATTAATACCAGTATTTCATACTGGAGAAACAAAGGGGGAAACCTCTCGTCAGCTATGACAGGGTTTACTATAGAATGTGTAAAGCCCTTAATTTGACATATAGTCAGGTTTACAAAGTTGTAAACAAATCAGTTACCTCAGGGGTAGTGTCAAAATCAAAACCAGGTAGGAAACACAAACTGGATAGCTTTGATAAGGGTGTCATAAACTGCGTGCAGTTTATAAACTGTATGAACGCAAAATCCCACTGGCGTGTGCTAAATTACAAGATGAGATCAAAGATACAATAAATGTCTTGAAAACAACACTTATTGTAGCTCTGGTAGAAATGGGGTTCAGGTACACCAAAAGGGCAGATGACAGAGCTGTGTTTAGAGAAAAGTACTCAATCCGGTCCATAGTACTCAATCCATATCTCAGAACAGTTGAAGAATACGCAATTTGGGGTTTCAAATTATATACCTTGATGAAACATGGTGTAATAAAATCACTCAACCGATCGGATGTGGCTTCCTTCAGATTGTTCTAAGGCACCAGTGTTACCATCAGGCAAAGGTAGACGCCTGATCATCTTGCATGCTGGTACCCGTAGCAAGGGACTGATTGGGGGATTTGCCTTTGTTTTTGAGGCCAAGAAATCTGATGGTGATTACCATAGCGAAATGAATGGGCAGGTATTTTTGCAGGATTTTCTCACTTCCTGTAACGTGCCTTACAGGCACTCAGTAACAAAGCGCCAGCTCATGGAAAAAATCCGGCAGCACAAAAAGCTAATCCAGTACATCACTGATATTTAGTGATAAACTATCTGCAAAACAAGGCCACATAGTTCTGCATACACCAGTGCGGCACTGTGAGCTCAATCCCATCGAGCTGATCTGGGGTAACTGTAAGAATTATATTGCTCAAAATAATAATACCACATTCAAGCTTTCAGATGTTAAACAGCTTGTGTATGCTCCTTTCTGCGAGAATTACCCCAGAAGTGTGGCAAAAGGCTGAAGACTATGTTCTCAAAATCGAGGACGAATACCGTCTGAGGGGTGGCGTTCACGTCAGCCGAATTGCACCTGTTGTCATTCCGCTTTGGAATTTTATCTAAGTATTTTGATATTTTATGAGTAATCATTATGATTAGGGAATGGTACACCATGATTACTCATATGCCATATTAGGTCAAGGTGGTATGAATGATTATATATGAGTTTTGAATCTGAAATATCAACCATTATCAAATAATTGCCAAAAAGCATTTTCCAAGCATTTCCGGCATTACTTTTTTAATCCACACCAGTACCACAATATTCTATACAGCTGAAATAAACACCCGGGTCCCATTTCACAAAGCTATCATAGCGCTACGACTGTCATAAGACTATGCTACAGTATAGGAGGTACGATTGCTATGAGAAAGGTAATGAGATCTTTGTGAATGTGGCCCAGGGGCCCGTTAAGCGATCGTAGCACCAAGGTGATCGTAACTCCCATACTTTAACATAGACTTACGACAGTCATAGCGCTACAATCGCTTTGTTGAATGGGCCCCTGCTTACCACTGTCAAGGTTCTTAAGCAGAGGCCCAGATAAGCTGCGTAACCGGGTAAAATACGCATTGAAAATTTCCAATTACGCATTGAAAAATAATTGTTGCGTACCAATTATGCATTTAAAATGTTAGATACGCAGAAAATTTAAAACATATGCGTACTGAATAAATTTATAATACATTATAATGTACTGTTAGTATAGGACAAGTGTTGTACTGTCAGTATAAGATGAGTGATTTTTATGAAATCATTTCCATTATATTTAAGTTGGTTTTGATTAGGTACGACATAAGGCAGAACATACCTGCTTAGTAAACATACTCAATGACATAATACTTAGGTGAGTAAAATCACTGAAATACCCACATATTTGAAAGCAGTGGGTAACGGAAAATGACATACCCACTCAAAATTCAAAATAACCACTCCAAAAAAGATACAGTGGGTACAGTACCCACATGAGCTAAATCTTATCTGGAGCTCTGCTTAAGCGATAACAACGCACATCCAGTGAGGTCAACCACTATATAATGACACTAACACAGACAAAGCATTGATCCTGAACACAGACACAAGAAACACAAAATCTTCCTACCATAATCTCGTAGACTGTAGGTCATTTTTCTGTGTAGGTATGACTTGAGTTCATCGTCCGACGCCCCAACACCATACCCCTCAGACAGCTCTGTCACAAGACCAGCAATATATGACTTGAGTCTGATGTAATCTTGTAACGTGGTGTCACTTCGTGTGATCTTCTGGAGGGTTGCTTCTGATATCATACTCAGGTCTATCAAACTTCTAATGTCTTCCTTTTTCAATCTGGGGAAGAAACAACACATATATGAGAACTGGCACTTCGCCCAATCAACAAAGCCTCACAGCACTGTCTTAGCCTATGATAAAGAAGGGGAGTTAGGAACATCTTAGCAAAAAGATTTCTTTGAGGTGCTATCAGGTTATACTGACTGACTGACTGAGTTTTGGTTTTACGCCGCTTTTAGCAATATTCCAGCAACATCACGGTGGGGGGACACCAGAAATGGGCTTCACACATTGTACCCATGTGGGGATTCAAACCTGGTTCTTCGGCGTGACGAGCCAACGCTTTAACCACTAGGCTACCCCACCGCCCCCTATCAGGTTATAGAACCAACCAAATTCCATATTAAGGGATAGAAATTAATCATAACTTGAATAGTTGCCATCTACCTCATGATAAAAGCAGAAATCACCAGTGCTTCTTGAATGATTTTACTTCAAATACACTTTAGAACAAGACAAATACTTTTAAATAATTATATATTTTGATGAAAATATGGGGAAATCCAACTGCATTCATTTCAAGTGTTGGATTTTATAAACTAGTGTTTTGCAATTTAGGTAGATAGCAGTTCAATTTCACCTCCATTATGAGTGAATGTCATGAAAGTTGTACCTGAGATGTGTTTTCTTTATCATGACTAATGGGTTTTACTGTCAATTATGACAACAGGAAAATCATCTGATTTTAATGAATAGTATTTTTGTCAATAATATACTGAAGAAAGAAAGAAACTTCACATGTGTTACTTTATGCTCCAAACAACCATATAGAACAAAGTGTGTTGCTAGTGGATTAATCGGGTTTATTCAAGGCAATGAGTGTAAAATCAAAACAGGATAAGGTATTAAGGTAAGTAGCATGATGGGGTACTAGCCATCTGTATTGCAGCGTGTTCGGAACAGCATATGCCCCCCCTCTCACATTCATAACAGCAAGGCAACATTGTCTCATGGAGTGCCTAGCATCAATGAACACAGCATTAGGCAACCTGAACCACTCCTGTACCACTCCCAGCGCTCAGCTTCTGAACCCCTCAAGGCATGAAGACCCTTTCCAAGAGCATCCCATACATGTCTGACTGACTGACTGAGTTTGGTTTTACGCCGCTTTCAGCAATATTCCAGCAACATCACGGCGGGGGACACCAGAAATGGGCTTCACACATTGTGCCCATGTGGGGATTCGAACCCGGGTCTTCGGCGTGACGTCCCCATACATGTCTGATGGGATTGAGGCTAGGCGATCTTGATGGCCATCCCATGACATCAATTCCTGCATTTTGCTGGAAATTTTGTGTCAAAACAGCTGTGTGTGGTGTCACATTGTCATGATGGAATTGGAGGCCTGGCCATGCGGCCATGAATGGCACCAGCTTTGGGACAAGGACCTGGTTACGATATCCTGCTGAAATGAGGTCCCCACAAATAAGAAGACGACGTGAGCACATGTTCCCAAGGAAAGCTCCCCAAACCATTACGCTACCGCTGTGAAATCGATCAACTTAATGTTCACTGCTCGAACACCATGCTCACAATCTTCCATCAGCAAATCCCAAACATGATTCATCGCTAAACACAACCCTGTCTTATTGTCTCTGGTTCCAGCACAGGTCCAACAGTGCCCAGCACAGACGTTAATTACAGCTTACCTGTGTCGGAATCTACCCAACATAAGGACGCCAGGCATGAAGACGGCAGCGGGCATGTGGTTTCAGATGGTCTCGGTTGTTTTATGATCAGAAAATGATTATACAGATGACATAGCCGAGTTAGATTGTGCTCAGCATGTGACGTCACACATTGCCCTCATGATCTGGAGTGTTCAAATGTCATAGTCATTTGATGCACGTGTCCTCAGGTTGCGAATTATTCGTCTACTGAATCTCATAGCATGCACAAGAGTCATAGAAGAATGGCCAGCCTGCAGCATGCTAATTGCAGGTTCACGTTCAGCATTTGTAACGTGTGGTATGAATTGTTTATCTCCAGCAAATTCTGCACACTTGTTGGCGGTTAGGCACATGAAATTGTAGTCACGTGACCCTGCACCCATGAAGGGATGCCTTTTCACAAAAGAGCATGCTAGGTGCACCCCGCTTGGTTAGCCACTGTTGAAATGTGCAGATTTGTCAGGTTAGCCCTGGCCATTATGGTATTTGCCCATATCAACTGCCTTGTACTGCCCATTTTCAATATTTCTCCAAATGTGAAGTTTCTTTATTGTGTTCAGTATAGTCTCCAGTATGTGTCAAGCATTTAAGCCTGAACCTTTCATTCAAGTGATGTTTCCCAGTTATCATGAACTTTTTATTAGCTGAACGTACTACACCAAAACATTGCTAACTAGACTTTAGATTCTGACTACATGTATTATTTGCAAATTGGGTATCAGTTATTTGTGAGAATATGTAAAACATAATTACCTTTCGAAGTAGGAAGCCATGCCCTTTCCAGACAACCAATGTTCCAGTCTCATTTCTTCTGTCAACTCTTTCAGGGCCTCTTTGAGGTTGTGGTGTTGGTCATCCGAGAAGTGATTTGTCCACTTGTGTTGGCCATGTGTAAACAAAGCAGCCTCGTAGATACTTTGTACACCTGGGGATATAGTAGAAACCACTATTATGATTTTCAACTATATATATTACATCTGGGGATAACGTTGATAGCATTATTGGTATTGTAACTATAATTACCAGACCAAGGGATAATGAAAAACACATCACGGTTATCACAATAATTAATACATATGGAGATATTTAGATAACAATATCATGATTTCAACTAAAATTATCAGACCCAGGGATAATGCTGAAAACATTATCATGATTACCATTTTGGGGACTGAATAGAACCATTTCTCATGATCATACCTTGGGATAAAGTATAAACCATTATCATGATTACATGCATTTGAAGTCAACACGATCTCAAGCATTATCATGATTATTATCATTACCACACCTGAGGATAACATTTATCACTATCATCATAGTGAGGAGCAGTGCTTGAAAGTAAGTCATGGGGTCTTTCCCTTTTACAGTACACATTATTTTAAACAAGAGAGTCCCTGGACATGCTGAACACATAGAATCTTTACTTTTCAACTTTACACAAATGCAGTTTGGCAGTATAGCCCATTTGCAAACTGTCTCGTTTATCTACTTCATTTACTGTTTAGACATAGTAAAGCTGGTAACAAAACTAGATTAATAATGACCTTAACTTTTGACTGGATTTGACCAAATCTGTTTTCACAAAATGGCCCAATGTCAAGTCTAAATAATTGTATATTCTGAGTTTAGTGAAGAAAGCAGCACTACCATTTGATATAAGCACTGCAATATCTAGCAGTAATTGATGAAACTTCCCTTCAGTTTCCTGACAAGAATGTGCCATCACAGTGCCATGAAAGAGGAGGATCATAATAATTTTTTCAATATGACAAGTTTTATGTCACTAGTCGGAAATGTCAAAAATAACTGACCATGTCCTTCAAGTCAAATTCAATCAAGAAACTAACTATGATGCAGATTAATTAGTTGTCAGATAACGGCCATTGTAATCAGCAATGATCAGTGATGTCAATATCTATAAATGAGATCTGTATAAAACATGGAGTTTTATCAGGGTATGACTTACATCCCCGCAGTAGTGCACTTTTTCAGATATCAATTAGCGTTACACTAACCATTCTAACTTGCCGGCAAAGCTCAGCTCAGCTAAGGATTTAATCTAATAACCCAACACTGCCCCACAGGTCACAAATAATCAGTGCATGACGACCCAATCTAATTGGTTACTTGGAAACAGTAAGGGGTTTGGGGTAATTAATTCTTTAAATGAGGTGATGCACTTGACCCATCCCTGGCACAGAAGTAACCATGCTGACACTATGAATCATGAACACCTTTCAGAAAGTTGTCAAATGTAACTAAGAATCATACAGCTGAGTTTTATTGTCAAGTGGTCTCCAACCTCAAGGGTCATGAAGTAGAGTTTCATTAGGAATGGGAACAAAACCCTAATGATCACGGAAGGAATTCAAGGGCAAAGGAAAAACATGATAAAGTTAGGGTTAACCTATTCCAAAGCTAATAGTAGTAACATAAAGATAGGACTGTGAATGAAAGATGGGCAGTTTGCAGCCAATTTGAGATAATAGCTCCACCCAATAGCTGCACCCAGAAAACTGCTGACTTGTCAACATCACATTGTGCCTCCTATTAATGATATGACAGCTGACACATATGACAGCACTTTCGATCCCTTTACCTGTTCACAGGTTCTAATGTTTACATAATTTATTAAGCCTGACATTGGTTGTTCTCAAAACGTGTATCGTTTTCAAACTGACGATCATGCGATATACCTGCTGATGCCAGAGCAGATGAAAAAACGTTGAGTTGTTTTTCTTTTAGCCATAAATCCAGTTCATCCCTCATTCTCTTCTCGGTTGTACGCCTCCAACACGAACTCAAGCCATAGCCGACAGCCACTGTAAGAGCAGCAAATCGAAACAATGTTGATGAAAGTAGGCCTGTCATGTCTGTAATTGGCCTCCAGTATTGTCAGTCCTGACTTGGTGTCGTAAAAAGGTTTGTTTAAGAATTCAGATCAGACGGTTTCAATCGAACCATGTCAATTATTTATTTTGTTGTTGTCAAACCGGAAGTTTAGATCCTGTGTACAAATTAAAGAATACATGATACGGAATGAAACTATTTCATTTGTTCGGATTTACAGTTTCACACTAGCTAATGCCACAATGAAAGTACATAAATACTTATAATAAATAACATAAGTGATGCCTACAATCAGTTATGCTGGATTTATTATACTGAATAAATCTATACGGGTAGTATTTCGTACCAGCTTTCATGTTTCAGTTTTCGGAAGTTTCATTAAACATGGCGGATGCAGGTGAGTTTTTGTGGAATGACAGCTGATTCTTTGCACATTTCCTCGTAATCGAAAGCTAATTTTATTTCTATATCAATGGCAAAGTAACGCTTTGTCGTTTTGAAAAGTATTGATGCAATATTTTAAACTGACAAATTGTCTTCATCCACAAATATGATCGTTCGGCTACGACGATAGGAACCCGAATGCGTCATAGCTATAGATAACATATGAACAAACACTCAACTCATCCAGGGTACCAATGACGTGTCATTCATATTTCGTGGTTCTCCTATTCTGCATATATGGCGCAGTATAAATATGAAAATACGTAGTAAAAATATCAACAAAGTGCAGGTCGTTCTATGCTACGACGCTAATTGCTACGTGTAATCATTATCAGGTCTATGCTTGAAGGAATTCGGTAAGAGTTCCTCCCGTCCCCCCATCCCAAATAATATGTATAAATATTCTAGAATTATAAACAAAACTTAACACAACAATTACTAGAGAACTCACAAAATGATTAAAAGTCCAGAATTTAAGTTAGGGCTAGGTTTAGAGTTTGGTTTAGAGAACGGAAGGAACTCTTTCCAGGCAAATAGCAAAGATGAAACACTATGGTTAATGTCAGCATACATGTCATCTGAACTCATCCCAAGTGTGTTCTGTCAGGTTCAGGACCGCCTCCGTGGTGTAGTGGTTAGAGCGTCTGCCCGGAGAGCGGAAGGTCGCGGGTTCGATCCCCGACCGCGTCATACCAAAAGACGTTAAAATGTGGTACTTGTTGGTCCCTGCCTGGCGTTCTGCATTAATGGGTACAACAAGGACTGGTCGGCTCGGAGTCAGTATAATGTGTCTGAGTGGGATATTCATGCTTCACTGCGGCATGGTATCTCAGTGGGCTAGCACTATAAAACCAGCTGAAGTCTGGGCTAGTACAAGCAGCTGCACATACACATACACACGCATGCAAGTCGCCATATGAGCGAAATATTCTTAAGCACGACGTTAAACCCAATTTCACCTCACCTCACCTCTGTCAGGTTCAGATAATTGAAAACTGCAGCAATTCTTTCATATTAACAGAATACTGCTGTTGAAAGAAAGAATTGCTTGGTGTTCCATGCAGTTTTGGTAGGAATTGTCACTTTTGAAAATTAAACTGAAGGCTTGGAGTTGGACAAGTCGCATGTAAATAAAACATCATCTTCTCAGATTTCACATTGCTTTTAATGTGACAACATTCAAGCAATTTACGTGACAAACAATATGCATGAAATGTCATCAAGTTTTCAAGCGTCAGATGAAACATATTGCAAACACATGGAATGAGATTCAAACATGCAGAGCAATGCTGTCTCATACCTAAATACCCAGAATAATATTATTTGATATCAATATCTAATTTGCCCAAATATTAGAAAAGTTACCACAGAGATTTCACCTTAATTCTGAACACTGGATATGGCTCATGTTTTTAAACAGATCTACAGAGACGTGATGGAACAAGAATATGTGTTGGAAACCGCATTCTTAGTGATGGCAGCTTTGGTACAGTGAAATATATTGGTCAAGTACCCCCAACCAAAGGTAGGCGTAAGAAAGAGTGTCTTCATCATTCAAAAATGTCCTTTTCTATATTCCTATCAAGTGATAAATGTATGTTGTGATTGAATGGTTTATCTTTTGATGTTGCAAAATAAGCATTATCATTCATGATTAAGAATAAATCTGAGTTTTCAAACTGTAACCATGGTTACGGCATACATTATGTTTATACAATGGATGTTGTATTAATATTTTATGTGAATCAATCTCAAATGTTAAACACTGTTTTGACTCACCACACTTTGATATAATAACAACAATGCTGCTAGATATGTACAAGTGTCTATTCTTTCTGTTCAATTACCAAGATTTTCTTTATGTGACAAAAAGAATGTAATATGAGTAACATGCTGAAGTGAAGACTTCATGGCTGTTCCCAGGTATATGGCTGGGTGTGGACTGGGATGAGCCAGACAGAGGCAAACACAATGGAACACATGAAGGGAAACAATATTTTGAAACAAGGTGACATTAAGCACTCCACAATATCTTAGCAATCTTAGTGCTCTATCCTGTCTATTGCAAGGGGTTAAGAAACAAGGTTTAAATGTACAGTTGCGCACTATGGTGTCAAACTCTGATAACTCGATATCTCGGTTGTCTCGATATAACATCTCAGTCCTGGCAAAATCCTTTATAATTTATCATTATTCAAACTCTTTTAACTCGATACAGATGTCTCAAAATTTCGGATATCTCGATATAATTTCATGGTCCCAACAAAAGCCAAATTACCCTTTCAACTCGATATTTGCAAAGAAACTCGATATTCACCTACCTTTCATGGGCAAGTATCCCTCTGAACAGAGGTTGTTTCCACAAGTTTACACACGGTGTGGCATGAATCAAAGGGATGCGGTAGTGTAAACTTATTAGGGCTAAGTGGGACATGACAATACCACAGCATTAACTATGTCTTCTTTTTCTTGTAAACACTGAGATTTAGAAGGCACTGAATACAACTCTTACTAAGTCATACGGTTTCATGCAATGGCTACAAAGTATCAGAGACCTATAAATAGATTCAAAGTCAAGCAATTACTGATCCACAGTAGTAACACTTTGTCAACATGACCAAGGAGGTTAGCATGGTTTCAGTGGCAAATGAAGTACTTTAAAACTGATGCTACATTTCTGATACACGTTTGTAATTTTAAACATGATGAAGAAAACATGTTGAATCCTGTCTTAACAGAAATCCCAAGTCAGGGTCCTTTCTGAGACCAAAGAAAGCCGAGTTTGGTGTGTCATGTTTTGAATCGCTGAAAGACCGCTACGGCTTGATCGAGGGAGAGGATGCGGGGGTGGTCACAGATGAGTTGTTTATCCTCGGATCCAACAAGAAGGCGACAGTTGTGGAGATGGTCGGTGCTAAGCAAGTTAATCAAAGACAAAGGTAGGGTGTTTGTGTTTTACCATTTTTGATATTTTGGAAATATTTTATAATAACTGTATTGTAAAGCGTAACTTTTATTGGTTTACTTCATTTTTTTTTTTATACTTTGTACGTTGCAGCGTGGGAAATATCTGTATTGCTATTATCAGTATACTGGTATATTTGAGTACTATTCCTTTGGACCAAGAGGTTGAATGAGTAATATGGTGAATCTTTTCACAAGCCACAAGCTATTTGTTACTACTGATCATGCTAAAGACTGACATGTCTTTATGCTTGGAACTAGGGCCTAAAACAAAACTTGGAAGGTTCAAAATTCCATATGTTACAGGGACAGGCTGAAATATGTACAGCCAGTGGCTGGTACCTGTAAACACAGGTCCCTTTGTTTACTCTTATGTTCATTACAAGTGTGTTCATTAAAGGTGTACTTTACTGTATGGTACATCATACAAGTACAGTTGTTTCAGTGTGTGTGTGAGTGAGTGAGTGTGTAAGTTTAGTTTTACGCCACACTCAGCAATATTCCAGCTATATGGCGTCAGTCTGTAAATAATCAAGTCTGGACCAGACAGTCTAGTGATCAACAGCATCAGCATCGATCTACACAATTGGGATACGATGACATGTGTCAACCAAGTCAGCGAATCTGACCACCCAATCCCGTTAGTCGCCCCTTACAACAAGCATGGGTTACTGAAGACCAATTCTAAGCCTTGTTTCAGTCAGAGGGGATTATTGTAGTTTGATAACCTCTGATCCACCAGTCAGAATGAAGTATTTCCCAAATTGATTGAAGACTACCTGTTTCCCACTCGGTACTTGCAGCAAGCTGGAGACCCTGAAGGACATAGGACTGAGAGATTGTCTTGTGTATGGAAATGGCCCTGGCTGTCAGCTGAAGGAATACACCCCCAACATCACGGAACTGAATCTGTCGAAGAACCTCATCCCTTCATGGGATGATGTGGCCAGGATAGCAGAACAGCTGCCCCTGCTCCATAGCCTCAATGTCAGGTAGCGTACACCGGTAGTGTGAGGTGAAGTGAAATTGAGTTTAACGTCGCGTGCTGGAGAATATTTGGCTCATATAACGACTTGCATGCGTGTGTATGTGTATGTGCGGCTGCTTGTACTAGCCCAGACTGAAGCTGGTTTTATAGTGCTAGCCCACTGAGATACTATGCCACAGTGAAGCATGAATACCTCACTCAGACACATTATACTGACTCCGAGCCGACCAGTCTTTGATGTACCCATTAATGCCGAGAGCCAGGCAGGGACCAACAAGTACCATATTTTAACGTCTTTTGGTATGACGCGCCTGGGGATCGTACCCGCGACCTTCCGCTCTCAGGGCGGACGCTCTAACCACTACACCATGGAGGCGGTCACCTGTAGTCTGACAAAATGGAGCTGTTCACAGTACCTAATGAAGATCTGTTCATTGTGGATTGTGTAGTACATGATGATACTGGCAACTCCAGCATTAGCTGTTAACTCAAAACATTATAGTATACCTTGTTTACTATATGTAATTATTATCCTGATACTGACTTATGATAACAAGGTTACTTATATAATATTTAATTGCTAAGATGTTACATAATGAAACACGATGTGAATTACAAATGGAAGCTATACACTGACATCGTGTTGGCCCGGACCCCATTTATACGAAAAGTTCCCCTTCCATATAATTTCTGAAGGGTACAATAATAAATTCATTAAAGGACATTACACCATGGTCATGATTCATTCATCATTCAGTTGGGATAATCTCACTTGGGACACTAATGTCTTCATTACTGCTGTTAAATACTGTTAACAAAATAACATCTTTGATTTCCTATTGCAAATTGTGTCATGCTGTGACAGATTTCAGTCTTATTTTCTAAGTATGGTTGATACTTGATGCATGACCCATAAATAAAGTTAAAATTCCTGTCAGTATAACTTTTCCATTAGCTGTTGAAAAGCAAGAAAAACATGGTTGTTAGAGATGAGAACTTTCTGCAATAATGACAAATTATAGCGCAAACCTTCCCTCTGGATTATGGTTGCCTTAGTTCTGTGGTTCCCACAGTCACATACAGAAAATAAAATGAAAAAATTTAAACCCTAAGTCATAGCTATCCCTATTGGTATGCTTACTCTCTTAACCCCAAGAGTTACCTCCCCTTGACATTTTCTATCCATTCCTTTATAGTGACAACTGTTTAGCTATACCAGACAACCTGGATGCCTTGCGACCAAGTTTTGCCAAAGTTCAGTTCCTTTTCCTCAACCGGATGCAGTACAGCTGGGAACAGGTACAGCTCTTCTCAACATCTTATATGGAACCTCCTTGATTAACATGGATGACAATACCAGGCAGCCAGTCATTGTTAGGTCTTATCAGTCTTGTTTTATATGTGTATTCTTTTAAAATTTGTTGATAACATTCAGGAACGATTTCACTTTGCACTGTCATATGTTACTTGCATATGTTATCCCACATCAAGGTCACACATTGACTTTCATCCAGATGTTTGTGTATAAATGGGTCATATTTCTTCAATAGTCCCACTGTAAACTTGCAGTAACCATATTACCACACAAATGAGTGAGACAGCATGGTGGATTAATGTCAAACAACAAGGTCAGTCAGCAACAGCAACCTGTGATCACTTGAGGCTTTGCCTGGCAACCAGTGGTCAATAGTGTGAGCAGCAAACAACATCTTTGCGCCACCATGAGATACCATTACCATCACACACTATGGCTACCCCATTTTAGTCACGCATGGAAAACATGGGCTTTGGTGGGACATAATAATGTGTGGTGTTCAGTACTCTTGATTATCTTGGCAAACAAGAATTTAAATTTGTATAACACAACACTGTATGACTATATAAATATACGATGATCTGACTTGATGACCTTGTTTTGATTTGATGACCATGTTGTTTAAACTTGATGACCTTCTTGTTTGACTTGATGACCTTGTTGGTTGACTTGATGACTTTGTTTTGGCTTGATGGCATTGTTGGTTGACTTGATGACCATGTTGTTTGATTTGATGACATTTTGACTTGATGACCTTGTCATTTGACTTGATGATCTTGTTGTTTGACTTGATGACCATGTTGTTTGACTTAATGACCTTGTTGTTTGACTTGATTACCATGTTGTTTGACTTGATGACCATGTTGTTTGACTTGATGACCATGTTGTTTGACTTGATGACCATGTTGTTTGATCTGATGACCATGTTAATTGACCTGATCACCCGTTGTTTGACTTGATGACCATGTTGTTTGACTTGATGACCATGTTGTTTGACTTGATGACCATGTTGTTTGACTTGATGACCATGTTGGTTGATTTGATGACCTCCCTGTTTGTTTAGATGACCATGTTTGATTTGATGACATTTTGACTTGATGACCTTGTCAATTGGCTTGATGCCATGTTGTTTGACCTGATGACCATGTTCTTTACTTGATGACCTTGTTGTTTGACTTGATGACCTTGTTGTTTGACTTGATGACCATGTTGTTTGACTTGATGGCCACATTGTTTGACTTGATGGCCATGTTGTTTGACTTGATGACCATGTTGTTTGACTTGATGACCATATTGTTTGACTTGATGGCCATGTTGTTTGACTTGATGACCTTGTTGTTTGACTTGATGGACTTGATGGCCATGTTGTTTGACACCTTGTTGTTTGACTTGATGACCATGTTGTTTGACTTGATGGCCACATTGTTTGACTTGATGGCCATGTTGTTTGACTTGATGACCATGTTGTTTGATTGGATGACCATGTTGTTTGATTGAATGACATTTTGACTAGATGGCCATGTTGTTTGACTTGAAGACCTTGTTGTTTGACTTGATGACCATGTTGTTTGACTCGATGGCCATGTTGTTTGACTTGAAGACCTTGTTGTTTGACTTAATGACCATGTTGTTTGACTTGATGACCATGTCTTTGTTTGCAGATCTTGAGGTGCAGTACCATGTTCCCGTGTCTGGAGCAGCTCCACGTCTGTTTCAACAATCTTCAGTCTCTCTCCATCCCTGCACAGTCTCATCTGCCTCATCTTACTCTGCTAAACCTGGACTGCAATGACCTGCACAGCTGGGAGGAAATACTCAAAGTCGGGATGCTTCCAAAGTCAGTGAAACTATACTTGTCAGAAATGCAATGACAGAAGGGATTAAAGATAACACAATTCTGCTTATGTTTTATGCCACAGCCAGCAATATTCCAACAGAATCCCAGCAGCATGTACATAATTAGGGACCAGTTGAGTGAGTGAGTTTAGTTTTATGACACACACAGCAATATTCCAGCTATATGGGGTCAGTCTGTAAACAATCGAGTCTGCTCCAGACAATCCAGTGATCAACAGCACGAGCATCGATCTATGCGGTTGGGCTGCGATGACATGTGTCAACCAAGTCAGCGAGCCTGACCACCCAATCCCATTAGTCACCTCTTACGACAAGCATGGGTTACTGAAGATCAATTCTAACCCATATATTCACGACTGACCAGTTGAACCAGTTGTTGATACAGTGAGCACAGTCCACACTTGTGCACATTGACACACTAGTAGCAAGACACTGACCATGCATTAAGACATATGTTGTTTTTGTGTTTTCTAGTGGATAAGAAATGATATTGTCTTTTGCAAACATTAATTCTTCTTTTTACCATCATTACTTTCTTTGCAAACACAAAAGACTGACCCTCAAGGCATGAAGACCCTTTCCAAGAGCATCCCATACATGACTGACTGACTGAGTTTGGTTTTACACCGCTTTTAGCAATATTCCAGCAACATCACGGCGGGAGACACCAGAAATGGGCTTCACACATTGTACCCATGTGGGGATTCGAACCCGGGTCTTCAGCGTGACGAGCCAACGCTTTAACCATTAGGCTACCCCACCGCCCCCAAACACAAAAGAAACTAACAGGGAACTATAAGACTATAATGGTCAATTCTATGGAAAGTAATTTTTTCCGATAAATGAAAGCAATATATATTCCACGCATAGGTTGGCCATTATATAAATAATGTTTAGTGTTCACATTTGAATGAACAGAAGTTTCATGATGTTTTATACTTCCACTGCCTAATCTGTCAATAAGATAGTGGACTATTTAAGAATTATTTCTTGTTTTTATTTGGAACTCAACTTATGTTTCAGCCTGAAGACTTTGATGGCCAGTGAGAACAACATTGACAGGATCCAATTTGCTGATGTTCAATTATTAGAAACGACAAAATACTTTCCAAAACTTTGTGTTTTGTCAATCATGAGGAACAAGATTGGTGATGTATGTGAAATTGTCATCGTATCCATAATATACCCAATTGCTGATGACAGCTTGTCCCCCAAATCCTTATTTTGTATTGAGAACAAATTTTATTTCAGTGTGACCAAACTGCTCCTTGGACACAAATAGGTCACCATGAATAATAATGAATTTGCCTTAAGGCCCAAACAGGTACAAATCTTCTTAAAAGCTCACATTGTTTCAAAATCACATTTTTGGACTTTGGTCCTTGAACCCATTTAACTCCTTGCTTTGATGTTTTCAAAACAAGGTTCCCAACTGATTCAAACATAAAGTTGACGACTGACAAACATAGCATTTTATAATGTAGTTACTTCTGAAATTGTTTAAGGTATTAGAAAACAACTAGCCAGTGGTTTCTACAATGAGATGTATCGACAAGGTTACCCATCACTCAGTTCATACATGAATACATGACTATTATGGATAACAACTTCTTGTATTATCTGTAATAACACATCAGAGAAGCTGCTAGCGCCTTCATCAGGTGGATACCCCTACATTGATTAAGCTAATAAAAGGAGCAAGAACTAGCTCTGAAACACAGTTTTCAAGTTGCTATCTAATAAATAGTGTCAAGTATACACGTTCTTCCAGCTTCAAAATGTCTATCAAAGATTCAACTCGTACAGCATTACTGGGGAACCTACTCTATTCTGTGAGTGTAGTTATTACCGTGTTAATAATCAGTCTATCCCTCTGAAAAATCAGAATGTGACATGATGATGCCGTGCTTATTCTAGAGCCACCTTTACCTCAGCTGTGTGTTTTGTTTCTATTTTCAGTGGACATCTATGAATGAGCTAGGTAAGCTGGCCACACTGTCGGATCTGAAGCTACAGGGTAACCCGATTTGGCAACTGATGGACGATAATTCTGTCAGGCAGCTCATCATTGCCAAAATAAAAACGTTGCTGTCATGCAATAACTCAAAGGTAAAGGACAAGATTGTTATTACAAGATAATGTAGGCCAGAGACATTAATTTCTCTCTTCCAGTCTTTGTACTCTCCTCGAGTACATGGACTCACCTCCAGTACTTGCACTATCCTTCAGTCCTTGTAGTCTCCTTCAGTTCTTGTATTCTCCTCCAGTTCTTGTATTCTCCTTCAGTTCTTGTATTCTCCTCCAGTTCTTGTATTCTCCTTCAGTTCTTGTATTCTCCTTCAGTTCTTGTATTCTCCTCTCAGTTCTTGTACTTCCTCAGTATTCTCCTCCTTCAGTTCTTGTATTCTCCTCCAGTTCTTGTATTCTCCTTCACTATCCTTCTTGTAGTCTCCTTCAGTTCTTGTAGTCTCCTTCAGTTCTTGTATTCTCCTTCAGTTCTTGTAGTACTTGTAGTCTCCTTCAGTTCTTGTAGTCTCCTTCAGTTCTTGTATCCTTCAGTTCTTGTCGTCTCCTTCAGTTCTTGTATTCTCCTCTAGTACTTGCACTATCCTTCAGTCCTTGTAGTCTCCTTCAGTTCTTGTATTATTCTCCTTCAGTACTTGTCTCCCTTCAGTCTCTTCAGTATTCTATCCTTCAGTTCTTGTATAGTCTCCTTCAGTTCTTGTATTCTCCTCTAGTAGTAGTCTTCTAGTTCCTCCTCTAGTACTTGCACTATCCTTCTTGTAGTCCTTCAGTTCTTGTAGTCTCACTCATCCTTCAGTTCTCCTTCAGTTCTTGTAGTCTCCTTCAGTTCTTGTATTCTCCTCTAGTACTTGCACTATCCTTCAGTTCTTGTAGTCTCCTTCAGTTCTTGTATTCTCCTCTAGTACTTGCACTATCCTCTTGTAGTCTCCTTCAGTTCTTGTATTCTCCTCCTTGCACTATCCTTTCTTGTAGTCTCCTTCAGTTCTTGTATTCTCCTCTAGTACTTGGACTCACCTCCAGTACTTGTACTCTCCTTCAGTCCTTGTACTTACCCCTAGTATACTGGTACTATATTTGGTATCAAGTATACTTTCATTCATGCATCAAGAAACCTGTGAAGATTCGGGTTAGAAATGGTCTTCAGTAACCCATGCTCGTCGTAAGAGGTGATTAACGGGTCGGGTGATCGGGCTCGCTGACTTGGTTGACACATGTCATCGGTTCCCAATTGCGTAGATGGATGCTCATGCTGTTGATCACTGGATTGTCTGGTCCAGACTCAATTATTTACAGACCGCCGCCATATAGCTGGAATAATGCGACATAAAACTAAACTCGCTCACACTCATACTACTAACATTACTGATTGAGGAACATAAGAGTTATTTCCCTTGTATGTCCCATGTCTGCTTCAGCAACCATCCCTGACGTGATAATGTGAAGAGAATTGGAATATCATTTGATTGTTTCCTTCTATTTGCTGATCAGTTGACAGATTCAGTTTTATAAGTCAAGGCAACATGAAATGCAAAAGTGTTAAAATGAGAATTTATGTTCAATTGAAATTGTCTGACAGCTGACACTAGAGGAAAGGAAGGGTGCAGAGATCGACTATCTGAAGAAGTTTGGCCAGGACTGGAAGAAATCTGACGGTAACCAGGATCCTTCGAAGAACAAGCCAAGTCAGGAGTTTGTCACAGAACACCCTCGATACCAGCAATTTATAGACGGTAATAGGACCTTTACTTCACTGAAAAAATAATATTTAATAGCCTTCAAAATAACCCTGGAGTATTTGTTAGTGTAAGCAAGGGAAAGTATGAACATGTTGCTCAATATCTTCCAAAATATACATTTATTTTCAGATTTTTGGGTGTTTCTTAGTTTTAAGAACTTGAGATTGAGGTTAAAACCTTCTAGTTATTAAGACACACACATTCAGCAGAACCGTTTATTAACATTGTGAATTCAAGACACTTATCATGAATAAAAGCTTTGAAATTCTACTTAGTGTTTATCAACATTTGGAATATAAATATTTACATTGTTGTCGGTAATTTTCCATAGCATGCCCTTTCCATGTGTGCCCATATAACACAACATCTTTACAACAATGGCCACAAACAACAGATGTGCTGTTGAAAAACTGTTACCGGGTATTCATAAGCTGTGAGAAGAATAAAAGATTTCAGGATTAAGAATCTGATTAGGAATAATTTTAATTATCCAGCCATTGGCACACAGTTTTATTTGTGTTCTGTCACAGTGTGTGTCTGTATGTTTCAGACTGGGGTGCTCCTGAAGACTCAGAATTAGAAGTGAAGTCTAATGCCCTGAAGGACAACCTGCTGAGTATCCTTTGTAGCTGCTAAAACCCTGCCAGAATCTCCCTCCATCACTCAGGAGATGGTACAGACATTTAATGAACCACAGCACTGTATCATAGAACTGTCCATGCTGATGACTAAAACTTGCAGTGTTTAGAAATAGTGTTGTTGGTGATGATTCTTGTACACGATGGTTTGTACTCCTTTTGTTTCATGCAAATTTGGTGTGGTTTTAAGGGATGCAGTTTCTATAGAAACCACAAGAACAAGTGTTACGTACCTTAACCTGACTAGGTGTTATCCTGTCGTGTCCTCAGAAGTCGGAGAAAGGTCAGATTACAAAGAAACTGCCAAGTGAGTCATCTTGTACACAGTATCTTTAAGTACGAAACAAAACTTAACATCTGTGAAAACACACCCAATATGACACTCTCTTATTTCAGGTTGAGGCCAATTAGTGAGTATAGTTTTACGCTGCTTTTAGCAATATTCCAGCAACATCACGGCGGGGAACACCAGAAATGAGCTTCACAGATTGCACCCATGTGGGGAATCGAACCAGGGTCTTCAGTGTGACGAGCGAATGCTTTAACCACTAGGCTACCCCATCGCCCCTGAGGCAAATGAATATTCAGTCATTTTGTATCACTATAAATTATTGCTGTCAAAATCAGAATACTGTGTTGTTGCTTGTAAATTTCTAAATGTGTACCTTAGCACATGTTATTCTGTATGAAATTGTAGGGCTAAATATTTGTGAATGTATATATAAACATATTCTCATCTTCAGTAGATGTATTTTGGCATGGTCTCATATTATTCTGGAGATGAAGAAATATGCCTCCTTCTTTTCCACAAGTGATACTTTGTGTTGTGTGTTGTCCAGAGACCATGTCCGTACAGAAGGTCAAGACGTTGGTCCAGCGGTTGTTTCGGGTGGAGACGGGAGACATCATCCTCACCTACAAGAGTCAGGAGGTGGGTGCTGCATGTAGTCTCAGGAGTAAGGGTTGCCCTGTCACTTTGCAGAGTTGTGTGCCTTTGACAAACAAGCGATCTGCTGCTGTTGAGTTTGAATCCCAGGTTCCTACTGATTATAATCCTCGGTTTGTCATTACCATTCCTGTGTTCATGAGTTTCACAAAGGCTGTGAATGTCTGACCTGCTTGTCATTTTCCCACATTAACCTACATGTTTCTGAAGTTGAAATACAGTTGGTGGTTGGTTGTTGATTAATGCTGCACTCAGCAGTATTCCAGCTATATGGTGGCATTCTGTAAATAATCAATTCTGGACCAGACAATCCAGTGATCAACAGTATGAGCACTGATCTACACAATTGGGATACAATGACATGTGTCAACCAAGTCAGCAAGCCTGACTACCTGAACTCATTAGTCGCTGAAGACCAATTTTAACCTGGATCGTCACGGGTTGAAATACAGTACTGAGAAGTGTAAAACCCATTGCATACACTCTCATGTGCTCTAAATGTACCTTCATTAATCTGTTTCAGGTTGAGGATGCTGAATTTCCAATTGACAATGATCTTCGAGTACTGTCTTTTTACTCCTTGGAAAATGGGGATACTATACTTGTGAGGTGGAAGTAGGCCTTCCAGAAGATCCATGTTGCTATCTACACCACTGTCAAATACACTTGAAATAATAGCATTGTAAATACACTTTAATTATACTTGAAAATTTTGTACAATTTATATAATTGACAATCACAATTGTAAGAAAGTTTTCAAAATGACACTAAGTACACAGGGTTTCAGTCTTCTGTCAAAAACAATAAAACTGTTTTTGAAAAACCTTTTGTACCGAGAGATGCCAACCTCTATGATTTTATTGTAGTCGCTATGGATTTTAGCCTCAAACTACGCCAATACGATTGCACTAGAAATTCTACGATATTTGAAGAAAATTCATTAAAATTCGGATATATAGACAAAAACATATATCTTCGTCGATAAAATACATTTTCGCCATAAAGAGATGACAATAAGAAATGTAATGCTGATAATTTGGAAATCTGCTGTTGGAGGTATGTGAAATTAAAGCTTACTCTAGATTAGTGTCATATTATTTTTCTCAGAATCCATCATGATTTTAAGTGATTAGTTAACTACTAATTTTATGTTCAAACTATTAAATTTGGTCCTTGAAACTTTTATCTGCAACACTTTGGGGTTGGCATCTCTGTGTACCTCACCTTTATCTGCGTTTCTAATGTGAAGTTCCAACCCATTTAATCCTGATTACTCTACTGATTATGTGTGTGCCAACTACCAATGCTGTGAAACAGACAGGGCCTTCCATTATAAAGGCAATGTCGAGCAGCTGTAGATTATGTGTTCTGAAATGATATATATTTCTTGTGATATTTTGATATATATCACTAGTACAGTTATGCATGTACACATCTGTCAAAATGAAATATTCTGAATATCTATAGCATAGCTTCGAACTACAAGTTCTGTTAGACCTTGTAAACATCAAACCCCAAGAACTTGATGTATCCTCTAAGAGGTTATTCTTTGGCACTGGAAGAATCCTCATCAAGACTATGCTTCACTAACATTGCAAAGATTATCTCAGTCAGATGGTTCAGTTAAGCAAGAAGGAGTTTGGTTTCTAAACACCTTTGTTCGTGATGGTGCTGACTCTTCAAATAAGTCAAGCAAATATTAATTTGAGTGCCATCTTGAGTTGAGGACGCGTACAATATAAAAGTTATGACAGAAATGACGTTTGATTTACAGTAGGCAAGAGTGCTTGACAGCGGTACAAGAATTCTTAACTTCTAAACTAAGAATAGCTTTGTGGATAAAATATTAAAGATAAAAGTTATGACAGAAATGTTTGTTGGCCATTTTAACCTATCTAAACTAGATAGCTTTATGGATGTATCAGGTAAAAGTTGGGTAGGTTTTGTGGTTAAAGTGGGGTCCTAGTGGTTAAAAGGTCCGTCCACCAAAGACCCTGGTTTGATTTCCCACATGGGTACATTTGAAGGTATATGTGAAGCCCATTTCTGGTGTCCCCCACCGTGATATTGCTGGAATATTGCTAAAAGTGGCGTAAAACCATACTCACTCACTCCCTTTGTGTATCAAACCACAGACATGTAACCTTATGCAACATCTGCCTGCAACATAGCTGTAATATATTACTCAGGGTGGGAAGATCTTTGTTGAAAACTCCCGGCTATGTAATCAAATTGTTATGGTATGTTTGAGTTGGAACATGTATCTTGAAGCAAAACACTGACGGTGATGTCCAACTTCCTGGTGGTCAAATGTAAAGAAGGAGGTAAAAGTAACAGCACCACCAAGACTGATCAAGTTGTGTTCAACTTAAACCAGCAGACTGGTGCTGGTATGTGCTTCCATGTGTCTGATCGAGGGGTTTAACCTTTCCTAATGTTTTGTATGTGACACTAATCTGATTAGGAGGATTATTTATAAGTAATTATTGATTATGAAACACATTAGTTGTTGAGATTCATATCACTGTTAGAATCTTTGGTTGTTCTGTGCTAATTGCTGACATTGCTTTCTGTGATATGTTTTGTAAAAATGATTCATTGTGTGCATATTAAAAATAATATTCAAGTGTTTTTATTCCTTTATTTGTGGGGCGATAGGGTGCGTCTGTCACAAACACACATATATTATGTATTGTCTATATGATTGAGGCAGTGGGGTAGCCTAGTAGTTAAAGCGTTTCCTCATCAAACCGAAGGCCTGGGTTCGATTCCCCACATTGGTACAATGTGTGAAGCCCATTTCTGATGTCCCCCGCCATGATGTTGTGGGAATATTGCTAAAAAGGTCGTAAGACTAAACTCACTAACTCACTCTTAGCCCCATCCCAACAGGATTTCTCTTGCTATCATGGCAACAGGGTCTCTAGAAGCAGAAACTATAAACCCAAGGCTCAGCACATTGTCCACAATACCAGAGCAGAGGTTCTTGAAGCAGATGTAGCCGCAAATAGCTGCCAATTTGTTGGGGCGGCATTAAACAATATTCACTCACTCACTAGAAGCAGATGAGGTCGTTGAATGGCATTTAGAAGTGATACATATAAGGAAGAGAGATTTTACGGATGTCAACTTCTTGATAGACATCAACTTCTTTATTATTAGGAACACAACGGAGTTATATCCTTAGCCCTCCTTCATCAGGATAAAAGCGGCGTAAAACCAAACTCAGTCAGTCCTGCGTCAGGTGAATGAATGGTATGAGGCAGAGAGCATTTATATGTACATGTAAGAACAATAAAAGTAATAAGACAACAAAGATGGAAGCTAAACAATGGAACAAATAGAAGCCAGCACTTGACAGTTAATTAGTGCTGAATAGAAGCCAACATTTAACAGTTAAGTAGTGTTCATAGGTGATGAAGATGAACAAGGTGATGGTCAGTGAAGCAGCTGTACAATCACAAGACAGCGTCCTCTGATCAGGTCTCAGCCGTCACTTCCTATTTCCCACCCAGATATGACTGGAGGGCAGGTTAAGCACCACAGAACTTGACTTCCATTCTGTTAGGGAACATCCTCACCCTACTTGACGATGACATTAGTGCCCCGTAACCTAGTTCGAGTCCCCACATTTGTGTGAAGCCCATTTCTGGTGTCCCCCAGCCCTGATATTGCTGAAATATTGCTAAAAGCGGACTAAAACTGAACTCACTCACTCACACCTAAACATTGATGTTTGATAACATCAGCTCAGCCAGTGATAAGTGATAACACCCTTGCACAGTGATCCTTGACAACCTCCTCACAGGATGCTGATATTAAATGTCCGACAAAGGAGGTGAGTTGAAAAGACGGTGATAATATACAAACATAGTTTCAGTACTCTATCATCCTTTTGAACTTTTACATCTATTCGTTTACCTTCAAATATATGTGTATACATAGTATATTAGAAATTGAAAGAAACGACACATGTGTGACCAAAACTGAACATCATGACCGCACTGTAACGGCCATAATATCGATCGCACCTGGATGTCCCCGTTATCTAGATAGATAATCGTGATAGGCGATAACTTGTAGCCATGCCACTAATGGGTCTATATAAAACTCATAACATGCACGGGAGCATGTAGAGTGAGAGACATATAATATTTGCTGAGTGTCACAGGCCATTAAAGAGCGATGCAGGATGGCTTAGGTGCAGTCATGTGAAATTTGTCTAATACCGCGTTCGACATTAACTTGCATGCACTTACGTGTGACTGGAACTGTCCAAACTGATGCCGGTTTTACAGACATAACCATATCAACTACATCATCGCTGCCTGCGGCTTAAAACTATGTTCTTTCGCTCTCTTTTAACAGGAACTGAAACTGAAATAGCATAATGTACCTTTAATTGGTAAACCGTACACTGTATGGCTAATGTTGGAAGTTCAGTGTTGTTACATGTAACAGGAATGTTTGTATCTGAGGTCTACGAAAAGTCATATGAGTGAATAGGTGATTAAATTGGCTACATGGAGTGCTTGTCATAATATCAACCACTGATTTGTATTGAATAGTAACAAGTCGCAGTGATTTGCTGAATAACTGCTGTGATATAAACAAGACTTAGTGTCTGTCCTAGTGTTCCGTAGTTTTGGGGGTATATTAAAAACACACACTCAAATTTCAACGACGAAGTGACAAACATATACCTGTGTCTCCGTTACATGAAAAGGGAACAGTCAAAACACAAAGGATCGTCACTCGTACACTCGTATTTGATAAGGAACAGCACTTCTATGGGGAATACTCATGGAATATCATCATGGCATATCGTTATGTAGCGTGTCTGTAAAGACCTGTCGAACTGTTTCTAGGATACACTGACCAAACATCACCATGGCATATTATCGTGCAGTCTCTTTCTAAAGACCTGTCGAACTGTTTCTAGGATACACTGACCAAACATCACCATGGCATATTATCGTGCAGTCTCTTTCTAAAGACCTGTCGAACTGTTTCTAGGATACACTGACCAAACATCACCATGGCATATTATCGTGCAGTGTCTTTCTAAAGACCTGTCGAACTGTTTCTAGGATACACTGACCAAATATCACCATAGCATATTATCGTGCAGTCTCTTTCTAAAGACCTGTCGAACTGTTTCTAGGATACACTGACCAAACATCATCATGGCATATTATCGTGCAGTCTGTCTGTAAAGGACTGTCGAACTGTTTCTAGTATATACACTGACCAAACATCATCATGGCATATTATCGTGCAGTCTGTCTGTAAAGACCTGTCGAACTGTTTCTAAGATACACTGACCAAACATCACCATGGCATATTATCGTGCAGTCTCTTTCTAAAGACCTGTCGAACTGTTTCTAGTATATACACTGACCAAACATCACCATGGCGTATTATCGTGCAGTCTCTTTCTAAAGACCTGTCGAACTGTTTCTAGGATAAACTAACCAAACATCACCATGGCATATTATCGTGCAGTCTGTCTGTAAAGACCTGTCGAACTGTTTCTAGGATAACACTGACCAAACATCATCATGGCATATTATCGTGCAGTCTGTCTGTAAAGACCTGTCGAACTGTTTCTAGGATACACTGACCAAACATCACCATGGCATATTATCGTGCAGTCTGTCTGTAAAGGACTGTCGAACTGTTTCTAGGATACACTGACCAAACATCACCATGGCATATTATCGTGCAGTCTGTCTGTAAAGACCTGTCGAACTGTTTCTAGGATACACTGACCAAACATCACCATGGCATATTATCGTGCAGTCTGTCTGTAAAGGACTGTCGAACTGTTTCTAGGATACACTGACCAAACATCATCATGGCATATTATCGTGAAGTCTGTCTGTAAAGGACTGTCGAACTGTTTCTAGGATACACTGACCAAACATCACCATGGCATATTATCGTGAAGTGTGTCTGTAAAGGACTGTCGAACTGTTTCTAGGATAAACTGACCAAACATCATCATGGCATATCATCGTGAAGTCTGTCTGTAAAGGACTGTCGAACTGTTTCCTGTATATACACTGACCAAACATCATCATGGCATATTATCGTGAAGTCTGTCTGTAAAGGCCTGTCGAACTGTTTCTAGGATACACTAACCAAACATCATCATGGTATATATCATCGTGAAGTCTGTCTGTAAAGGACTGTCGAACTGTTTCTGTATATACACTGACCAAACATCATCATGGCATATTATCGTGAAGTCTGTCTGTTAAGGCCTGTCGAACTGTTTCTAGGATAAACTGACCAAACATCACCATGGTATATCATCGTGAAGTCTGTCTGTAAAGGACTGTCTAACTGTTTCTAGTATATACACTGACCAAACATCATCATGGTATATTATCGTGAAGCCTGTCTGTAAAGGCCTGTCGAACTGTTTCTAGGATAAACTGA